TGTGCGACGCCGTGTCAAGGGAGAAGTTCCCGGACTCTAGTTACGGTCCACCCATGAAGCGGGGATTCCTACTTAGTTGTCGCATCCCGCCTCATGCACTTTTCGACTGCCTCCTGTCAATGTAGGTTCGAAGACAAAAACCTGAATGAGGTGCCACGCTCGAGGCATTCGCTTAGCGCTGATGAGCATCGAAGAGGAAGTAACAGGATTTGCAGAAATCATAACGGAGTCATGTCTCTGTGATTTCACTTCATTCTGTCGACATGTCAGCAGTTTCTAGAATTAGCCATAGTGTTTTGAATAGCTATACAACAGATTGGCTCGCAAATGCAGCCGATAAGCTCCCTAGCGATGGTTGGTCTGAGGCTAAACACTTTTCATCAAAAATCAGGTTAACAAGTGATGTTTCGAGGAGCCATCTGATGGCTTTAACAGGGCGACGTCTGAGCAGTAACAGAGTTCCAGCTATCCATCTGAGCCTCCCTTGAACGAAGCGCATATTCATCGCTATTTCTATGAAAAGGGTTAGTCTAAGAATGGACTGAGGAGGGGTACGTAGATCCAGGAGATCGAGATCCAGGAGCCCTAGACCAACCAACATCCCAATGTCTTGATACTGTGTGGTTCTGCCCTGTTTGGAAAGATGAGAACACTTTCTCGTTACTGCTGCTACCTACAGGTAGGGAAGTACCTCTCAGTAAGCGATGATGTCTGCTTTTCGTAAAGTAAATGCTTCAGACGTCCCTTACTTGCAGGGACTGTCAACCAGAATGTCAATTCAGGGATGTTTAGTTCAAGGCGAAGTAATAGTCTAGAACTATGCAGAAGTGGCAAACACTGCGAGTATCAGTGCCTTTAGTAGGATTCGGACGAGAATGTGACGACAGAATTTGCATCGGCGGGTATTTGGACGTGCTATTCAAATGGATCTGTTTATTACGCCCTATATAGGCAGTTTTCGATTCGGTCTTGTGCCATTCTTGGGGACCATTCTCATTCTCATTCTCAGAAGCATACTCACAAATCATTTTTACCATGAACAGTGCTTTTGGTCGAGGAGTAGCAATCACAATAATTTTACTTCTCGTTTGAAAATATAGAGAAACTGTCAAACTGAACGAACGAATAACTGAGTTTCTTTCGCCTCATAATGTTGACAAACGCAAAAATCCGGTTCCCATTGGCTTCAATGTAGGATTCTTAGAGTTCCTCCATCTGCGTGAATAGGTTCAGCCCTCTACGGTCGTTTCTGAAGGGTCCTGACCCGTTCTTTCTGTTCTATTTCAGACTGAATGCACCTGACCTTGTTCTTTCTACGTTGTGACCTTCTGGATCCCATAGTCGTGTTCGTTTTAAGATTGCTGCCTTCTTCATAGTAATAATCTTACTCGTAGATGAGGAGTAGTAAATCGAAGCGCTGAGCGATTCCGCTGAGTGGCTTGAGCGGGCCTCAGTTCCTTTTCTCAAATCGTCGATTCTCGGGATCACTTTCGTATCGGACATTGTCCAAAATCGCTACTATCCTGACGTTCCACTCCTTTTTCTTCTGGAACGAAGCTTTCTTCCCATGGGCATCTCCTACAAGACTTTCTAACTTTCTAACTTGCCAGTGAGTTTCTTCATTTCATCTCTTTTTCCGAATCCCCCTCCCAATCTCCATCTGAAAATCCCCCATGCTTCTCCTTCCGAAGATCCCGATACTCTTTTGTAATGCAACAGCATCATTCGTAGCTTGCTGAATGCACTTTTATAAATTTCATTTCCTTTTTGTAATTGGTAACGTAACATTGTTGTGACAAAATCCATGCATGTTAGAATCTCGTCCGGAAAACAGATCTCCTGAGCAGCATAGTCGTTAGTGGGGGCTGGAGCATGGGAAATTTCCGGATATCTTCGTTATGGAATCCAATTTTGGTTTCTTCCGTCGCAGTCTTCGCTGTGGTCAGGAATTTGCGCCTCATGCAGCATAACGAGTGCTTCTGATATACTGTGTAAACGCTCCTCTGACTAGATTATTCTCAGCTCTCAAGCAGACATTCTTCATCAATCCTCTGTGGAAGTTGTCTTCTCCATCGCGTAGTGCTCTAGGCGATGAAGAAGGCAACCTGGCCTTAAATAGGCCTTG